TTGGTGTGTTCCCACGTGTTCTATGCGTTGGTGTGTTTCCTCCGTGTTCTATGTGTTGGTGTGTTTCCTCCGTGTTCTATGTGTTGATGTGTTCCCCCGTGTTCTATGTGTTGATGTGTTCCCCCGTGTTCTATGTGTTGATGTGTTCCCCCGTGTTCTGTGTTGATGTGTTCCCCCGTGTTCTATGTGTTGATGTGTTCCCCGTGTTCTATGTGTTGATGTGTTCCCCGTGTTCTATGTGTTGATGTGTTCCCCCGTGTTCTATGTGTTGGTGTGTTTCCCCGTGTTCTGTGTTGGTGTGTTTCCCCGTGTTCTATGTATTGGTGTGTTTCCTCCGTGTTCTATGTGTTGGTGTGTTTCCCCCGTGTTCTATGTGTTGGTGTGTTCCCCCGTGTTCTATGTGTTGGTGTGTTCCCCGTGTTCTATGTGTTGGTGTGTTCCCCCGTGTTCTATGTGTTGGCGTGTTCCCCCGTGTTCTATGTGTTGGTGTGTTCCCCCGTGTTCTATGTGTTGGCGTGTTCCCCGTGTTCTATGTGTTGGTGTGTTCCCCCGTGTTCTATGTGTTGGTGTGTTCCCCCGTGTTCTATGTGTTGGTGTGTTCCCCCGTGTTCTATGTGTTGGTGTGTTCCCCCGTGTTCTATGTGTTGGTGTGTTCCCCCGTGTTCTATGTGTTGGCGTGTTCCCCCGTGTTCTATGTGTTGGTGTGTTCCCCCGTGTTCTATGTGTTGGTGTGTTCCCCCGTGTTCTATGTGTTGGCGTGTTCCCCCGTGTTCTATGTGTTGGTGTGTTTCCCCGTGTTCTATATGTTGGTGTGTTCCCCCGTGTTCTATGTGTTGGCGTGTTCCCCCGTGTTCTATGTGTTGGTGTGTTCCCCCGTGTTCTATGTGTTGGTGTGTTCCCCCGTGTTCTATGTGTTGGTGTGTTCCCCCGTGTTCTATGTGTTGGCGTGTTCCCCCGTGTTCTATGCCTTAAGAACTTCATAGGTAGTCTATAGAATATTTTAGAAAGCTGTCATGTACCCTGATCCACAAATCTGCCATTAATCCTGATCCACAAATCTGCCATTAATCCTGATCCACAAATCTGCCATTAATCCTGATCCACAAATCTGCCATTAATCCTGATCCACAAATCTGCCATTAATCCTGATCCACAAATCTGTCTTGAATTTTGTTTCGTAAAGAAATATATTCAACTTTTATTTCTTGCCAATTTAACATCATTCTGAGTGTAGTTGTATAGTTCTGAAAGTAGAAACTAAATGTATTTTAATTAAAATAAGGACGTATCTATCAACACGTAACAATAATAATAATAATAATAATAATAATAATAATAATAATAATAATAATAATAATAATGATAATAATAATAATAATAATAATAATAATAATAATAATAATAATAATAATAATAATAATAATAATACTGAAGGTAGCAGCAGCTGTAATAGCAGTAATAAATACCCATTGATGAGGCCATCTACATCAATCCCTTTAAAACGAGTTATTCATAACCCGTCACCAGCATAAATATGATCAATCTGGCTATGGCAGGGATTAACGACTCTGTGTGTTTGGCAATGTTCAACATCTTCCTCGTAATAATTCCTTTCATCATCGTGATATGTTTTGGTGTTTTATTGTTGTGGAGCGCTGTGTGTGTGTGTGTGTGTGTGTGTGTGTGTTTTATGGAGTTCCAGTAGTTAAGAAAGGGGACAGACAGGTAGCATTAAACTACGGGTCAGTGTAACTGACTTGCACAGTACGTAAGGTTGTGGAGATGATCAGAAGAGCGGTGGAACACCGGGGAAGAAGCGGGTCCAGAGAGAGAGAGAGAGAGAGAGAGAGAGAGAGAGAGAGAGAGAGAGAGAGAGAGAGAGAGAGAGAGAAGAAGAGAGAGAGAGAGAATGAGAGAACGATAACGAGAACGAGGCATGAGCTATGAGGAGAGACTAAAGGAGATGAACCTGATGTCATTAGAGGACAGAAAGACCAGGGGTGACATGATTACGATGTTCAAAGTACCGAGAGGAATCGATAGGGTGAGCAGGGATAAATTGTTTAAGAGGCGGAAAACAGGAATACGAGGGCACACCTGGACGTTAAAAATACAGATAGATCCCGGGGATGTTAGGAAATATTTTTTTTTTATGCTCCGAAATGGAAAGACTTGGGCAGCGAAGTGGTTGGGAGGCAGGATTCATACATAGCTTTATGAATAGGTATGAGAGGGTTCATACAGCCAGGAGAGAAGGTATTCGGTAGCAGGTAGCGAAGAGAAGCCAGGAGCTGAAGCCCGACCCTGTGACCACATATAGGTAAGTTCATACATGGAATAACCTAGAAAGTGACGTAGTGGAGGCAGGAACAATACATAGTTTTAAGACGAGGTTTAATAGCGCTCATGGAGCAGGGAGAGAGAGGACCCATTAGCAACCAGTGAAGAGGCGTTGCCAGGAGCCATGGCTCGACCCCTGCAACCACAAATACATGAGTACAAATAGGTGAGTAGACACACACACACACACACACACACACACACACACACACACACACACACACACACCCGCACATGTACACACGTTATGGCTCGACTTCTACCGCCACAAGTATGTAAACACACACATACTCCCGGTCTTTTCTTAAGTAAACATTCAATGTTGGAGGATAATTCTTTAAATTATGAGAGGGATTTTTTCTGGCACAAGTTCTATATGCACAGCTAAACTTGCACGAAGTGGTTATCATATTACACTGTTAGACAGAGAGATATAAGGATATAATATACACTATAGTACAGTGTTATCCTGGGAGTTATATGAAATATATCGTCCACTATATTACACTGTCAGGCTGATACAGTTACCAGGTATATCATTACCGACAGACTGTAGGGTAAATATACAATATTTAGGGCATTTTGCTTTGTAGGAGTATGTCAGTCCTAAATCGTAAGTGAAGTCAGGGTAGGTGACAGTAGTGTGACGTATGAGAACACTTTGTCACTTGAATATTCTTGAAGTATAATCATGTTTACGAGTAAACCAGAAATACCTTATGTCACTGAGTTTTGCACGACTGTTAGATACTGCTATCATGGTTGTTTAAAAAACAATTTACCCTCTGTAGATGCCAGTGTGTGATATGTACCACATATACAGTGTCCAAACTGTCACTGCAGCATGCATACTTACGTTCCTAAACTCACTGTACTAACGTCCCAGAGGTCTCTAGTATGTATAATTTGCCCCATTGCCACAAGCATTCTGTATACACCAGCTCCAGTTTCGATGGTTCTGGTTAGGTTGTTTTGACCCAGTCTTTGATGACGGTGGAGGAGCTCGTTGCTACGCTGAGATTGCTATTATCTTGCGTTCTAAAGATGTTGCTGGCTACAATACAACAGGACAGGCCTGCTTGTGAAGGCTGGTATTCACACGTGAGTAGAATGAAATTAGTTCATAGCTTACCACGGCCACGTATGTCCTTGCATCATAAAAAATGTCTAGCTTCGAAAGGTACATGATGTTTGTAGGACTGCATCTGGTGACTGCTCTGTCACACTCAGTGTTAATGATGCAACTTATGAAAATTAATAAATACATAGTTTTGTGTATTAGTTTAAAGAGGAAGGAATATATGACCGATGCAGTTTGGTTTGTCAGTAGAAAATTACTGGGATGTGTTTGGGAACAGAAGTCTAGGTATTAGACCCTCACTTACAAATACGATATAAGAACTCAAGAAATCGTAATGACACGACTGCAAACAAACCATACCACTGGTGGGGTTTGAACCCGCGATCAGAGTCTCAAAACTCCAGACGTGGGTTCAAGCCCCACCCGTGGTGTGGTTTGTTTACAATATAAGAATATTGTTGCTCGATTTGCTCACTCGTGGAGGAATGGTAACAGATAGTGGCAAACTGGGTTTCAAAGACACGTGAGAAAACACTAGGACATTTATTAGCAAACGTTTTGGCCTTGGGAACTTTGAGAGGTGATCAAGGTCCTAGGACCGAAAAGTGTTTGTTCATGGAGGGAATGAAAAGTGGATTTGAGTTAGGGACATGACTAAATTAAGATAGTGAACGTCGTCTTGCACTGTGAGATCATTTGTTGTAGTATAAAATAGAGGCAAGTCATACTTATGGGGACTTGTTTACAACGACAGACGTTATAATTTCAAAGGTGATAAATGATGTGTAAGAGTGATGGTAAGATCATAAAATTTATGTATATATAAATGCTCACACTTTTTTATTTCCCTGGAACGTTGACATGAAAGATACATCATAATAGACATCTGGAAAATCCTAGAGAGACTGGTCCCAAATCTGCACACAGAAATCACTCCCTACGAAAGCAAAAGACTCGGTAGACGGTGCAACATACCCCCAATGAAAAGTAAGGGTGCCATGAGTACGCTTAGAGAAAACGCAATAAGTGTCCTGGGCCCAAGACTGTTCAACAGCATCCCATCATACAAAAGAGGAATACCAATACACCCGTGGCAGTCTTCAAGAGAGAACTGAGCAGAAACAAAAGGTCAGTGCTCGATCAGCTGGGTTGAGCGAACAGCCTGGTTGATGAGGCCATGATCCACTCGGAAACCTGGTTGAAGTTCGGGCTGCGGGGGTGTCGGACTCCGGAACAAACTGCAGGTAGACCCGGTATAAATGGATAGGACACTTCACATACAACTGGATATTACTTGGTTGTTAAATAGTGATGGCAAATTTAGGGTAAATAATGAGGATATTCTCAAGCACCCCTGTTTCTGAGGTTCAAATTCCTTATTCCATTGAGTTTGCAGTCACTGACAGCTAGACATTGAGCCTACAGTCACTGACAAATAGATTATGAGCCTTCAGTCACTGACAGCTAGACATTCAGTTACGATGAAGGTCGTGCGACTATTCCTTTTTCACAAAGATTACATTTGGAATAGGCAGGGTTAGAATGTTTACCTATGACATCTGCATTTATTTGTCCACAGATGACGATACCCAACACTAAGACCACTGAGACCCACCGGTAAGCCAGGGGTCGCTCTTGTCGTGACCCGCCATAGGATCACTTGGCAACTCCACCTGCGCAGGTGTATTAAGCACCACCGTCTTGCTGTAGTACCGGCGCCACTGAATGGTCGTCTCTTACGACATAAACCCGCGTCGTCAGGTGATTTTTTCCCTCATAAATAAGCTAACAACGACGGTAATCAAGCAACAATCACCGTGTCATCTAGTCTGAGTGTTTTTGGTGTCCCTGTACAGTTTTCTGACCTGAGCAAGTCTTGGTACTTTATGCCTGTTCTTTCAGATCTTCGAGTGTCTGAGACGTCCATCAGATCTGACGTCATTCAGAAGAATTAATTTAACAGTAGAGGTAGGGAGGCCTAGTTTAAGCTCAGCTTCGGGCCTAATACAATAATAGAAGTAGGGAGGCCCAGTTTAAGCTCAACTTTGGGCCTAATACAACAGTAGAGGTACGGAGGCCCAGTTTAAACTGGGCCTCCGTACCTCTATTGTTGTATTAGGCCCAAAGTTGAGCTTAAGGCCAGCTTTGGGCCTAATGCAACAATAGAGGTAGGGAGGCCTAGTTAATTTAAGCTCAACTTTGGCACTAATACAACAGCAGAGGTAAGTTAATTTAAGCTCAGCTTTGGGCCTAATACAATAATAGAAGTAGGGAGGCCAAGTTTAAGCTCAACTTTGGGCCTAATACAACAGTAGAGGTAGGGAGGCCCAGTTTAAACTAGGCCTCCCTACCTCTTTTGTTGTATTAGGCCCAAAGTTGAGCTTAAGGTCAGCTTTGGGCCTAATACAACAATAGAGGTAGGGAGGCCTAGTTAATTTAAGCTCAACTTTGGGCCTAATACAACAGCAGAGGTAGAGAGGCCTAGTTTAAGCTCAACTTCGGGCCTAATACATGCAGATCCTTTGACAGTGTCATCAAAATAAACCCAATATGGGAAAGAATCCAGATGACTGAGACATTAAAGATGTGTAATATCTCTAATAAAATTACTGCCGTTTGTTTTCTTTACATGACTCGAGTGTTTGAAGAGTTTCTTCTCCTCGTAGATGATGTAAAGGATGAGAAGGGGTGGCCCTTTACACCTCTTTCCAGTCTCGATTTCTCTAATTTTTTGTCCCCATTCCCTAACTCTCCTCAGTTCCCACATTCTGCTTCCCCTCACGTACACACTGCTTGATGGTCCGCCTCACATTTACTCATACGCTACATTTCCCTTTAAATTTATATTATTATTATTTTCCAGTCCTTGCCTTTCCTCATTCCTTTCTCACCCTGAAGTGTGTGTACCTGCTGAGGGAGTCCAGGATCCTCACACCTGTGAAAGTAAATGTTATGGTGATACCGACAAGATGTGTAAATAGACACTTATGTCCTAAACTGTACATAAGTGCCTTTGTTTACATACTTTCCTCCTGTGTTTGAGTGCAAGAAGGCGGCTTCACTTCTTGGGGTAGTCACTGTAGTTCTTGAGCCCAAATCACATTTTTCACTTATCGGCATTACCCAAGGTAGCCAATTCTAGCTAAGCGTTTTGAAATGGTCTATGTCCATCGATGACGTTTTTATGTAGTAATCATTTGAGAGTGGCAGCTTTGTCGTAAACCACGGAACTGGTGGGGTTTGATTCCATCACGACTCACTCGCCATGGGTTCAGACCCAACCCGTTCCGTGGCTTGTTTTCAATAGTGTTATTACGATTTCGTGAGTCGTGATGTCAGCCTTATCATAGTTACAAGCTACTGACTGTCTCAACAACAGCACGCCGAAGCGGGAAGTCATAATAGAGATCTAATCTAACATATTCACCACAAATTTACTGAGTAAATATTTTGTATAAACGTGTACATACGAGTTAAACATCCATCTTAGAACACTTCTGGTAACTTGTACATGATGTAAAACCCTTAATATTACAATGGGTGGGCTGGAATATCATTGAGTTGTAGCTGCTTGCTTTGAGCAACAAGGATCAAGCCCCAAACAGGTTTCTGTCTGCCTTCAGGATCATTTACTTTTCTATTGCTGACTCCAGAAGGCTTTCTCTTACTGTGGGAGAACGTTCTCAAGTTCTGTCTTTTTATTTTGTTGTGGAATCTTGCTGCAGGCTGATTATTCTCTAATTTTTAAGCCCTGGTGTGCTTTTCTCTATCTTGTAATGAGCCTTGGATTGGTGAAAACACGATCCCGTGTTATAGATGGTTTAGATAACCGACAAGACGAAGAATGAGACACTTGTGCAACATTCTGGAATCTTTACAGATGAAACGTTTCGCCACACAATGGCATCATCAATCCGTTACAAAGAAGAACGGTGAAACTAGAGTAGGAGTTTGAGGTAATCAGTCCCTCAGCCTGGAATCGATGTGATAAGTTAAAAAAATTTTGAAGGAAATACTGATGAAACATTTCGCCTGTGCGACAGTAATCTTCAAGACTAAAAACCATAAACTCACCTACATAACCAATACCATTGGGTCCCTAAAATTTCCCACCAACAGCAACCCCTGCCGACTCAAGGTCACCAGCCTTCGCCAAACCCTAACACTGAGAAAGACACTATAAAAATATTGATTCTACCCCAGAGGAGATACAGCCCTCACCTTAGTTCAGTCTTGAGGAAGATAAAAATTGAACTCGAGTACCGCCACCACAAATACTCTCAGGGACGTCACACGACATTTAATAAACCATAGACAACAACACTGAATTATCTGGAGAGTTTATCTGGAGAGAGTTCCGGGGGTCAACGCCCCCGCGGCCCGGTCTGTGACCAGGCCTCCTTAGGTCAGTGTCCCAGGATGCGACCCACACCAGTCGACTAACACCCAGGTACCCATTTTACTGATGGGGAACATAGACAACAGGTTGAAAGAAACACGTCCAATGTTTCTACTCTGGCTGGGAATCGAACCCAGGCCCTCGCCGTGTGAAGCGAGAGCGTTAACCACCATCCCTTGCAAGAGCTGCAGGAAAGTGGACATCAGGTTTCTATCTGAATACGTCACTTGCTGAAACATTCCTGGTTGTTGCCTCCTGTATGTGAATGAAAGAAAAGAGGTTTCACATGTGACACAGTCCTGGTTCCTCCGTTGTGTCTGAGTGCAAGCGAAAGGCTTTTGTTTGCTTGCGGTAGTCTTGATACAAGGACTGATGTGATCCTACGAATTTCAAGGCTTGAAAGTTAGAGTAATATTTAGGGAAAAATGTCATTGATATTACCTAATACCCGGTACCACCATTACCATTACCCCTGCCAACACCCCCATTTATCACCACCACCAGTGATCATCATTACCTTAGAAAATGCACACTTAAACCTCAACCACCACCACTACCACCACACCACCACCACCACCACCACCACCACCACCACCACCACCACCACCACCACCACCACCACCACCACCACCACCACCGCTATACGCTAGGCAGAAAAAATCCTACCATACAGTTCTAGGCAGGGTAAATATTTTTATACGGAGCCAGGCAGGGGAGAAACACCACTATACAGTACCAATCATGGGAAACACTGCTATGTAGTGCCAGGCAGGAGAAACTCTGCCACACAGTGTTGGGTATGGGAAACATTGCTACACAGTGCCAGGCAGGAAAAAAATATTGCTGTATAGTGCCAGGCAGAGTAAATACTGTTACACAATGCCAAGGAGGGTTAAGTAGTACCAGCAGCACACAGCGTGCCAAGCAGGGAGAAAATAATGCTTACTTTTTCATAAAGAATAGGCCACAGCAAAGGCGAAATTGCCTGGCCGGTAAAATAGTGTAATAGCCGGGTACAGGAGGCAGAAGGAGAGGATAAATAGCACGTTACATCCTGCCCAGCTTGTGTCCCTAGCCCGCTAAATGGACCGCTTGGGATCCAAGTCTTTCCCAGACTGGTGTCAGTCTTTTCAGGGCCAGGCTTAGCTTTGTTGCCACTTCTGTGGTTCTGCGAGTGAAGGTGAGTGGACATTGTCAAGTAATAAGGAAACTGAAAATTATCTATTACGCTGGTGTGTGTGTGTGTGTGTGTTTGTGTGTGGGGGCGTTCAGTAGCAAGCAACGTTGATGGAGTTTGAGGGAAACTGCGGAAATTGATGAGAGATAGAGATAGATAATTATAGATAGATAGATAGATAGATAGATAGGTAAAGAGAGAGAGAGAGAGAGAGAGACAGACAGACAGACAGACAGACAGACAACACACATACACACACACACACACACACACACACACACACACACACACACACACACACACACACACACACACACACACACACACACACAGCTTTAAGCAGAGGTATGATACAGCTCACGGTTCAGGGAAAGTGACCTAGTAGCGACCAGTGAAGAGGCGGGGCCAGGAGCTTGGACTCGACCCCTGCAACCTTAACTAGGTGAATACACACACACACACACACACACACACACACCAGTGAAGAGGCGTGGCCAGGAGCTATGAATCGAACCCTGCAACCACAATTAATTGAGTACACACACACACAAAAGAGACTGTCTTATTTATAGTTTCTCCTTATTTCGTGACTACTGTGTTAATAAAGAAACCAGAAGCAAGGAAACCCTCTATATACAGAGAGACAGGAGATTGAAAGCATTCGTTCGGATTCTGCAAGTCCCAAGACTTTTCCGAAAAGCCATTTTGCATTCCAGAGGCGATGCCACTCCATATACTGTACCAGAGGTGGACTCATATAATATATATATCGTAAAACTTGCCATTTTGGCTTAAATAGCAAAGATTTTCTTGCCGAATAAGGCAAGCAAAAATTTGCGTCTGCAATAATTTCGCAAAAATCATTTTGGACCTAACGAAAAAAATATATTTCATTGTTTATTATTATATTATTGTAAACTTATCTAAACTATATTTAGTTGGATTAGACTAAATTAAATTGCGCTTGTTATGATAGGGTTAGGTAAGTTTTCTAAGGTTCTTTTGGTACAAAATTATTAATTTTTACATTTACATAAATGAAAAAATATATCTTTAAACGAATAAGAGAATTTTTTTAGAAAGGACTTAATTTTAAATGAGTTTTTGCTAATTGATGAGTTTTACCTATTCGTCACGACATGACATACATTATATATA